TCGGGGACCTCTTTCAGGTACTGGCACTGATGGTGCAGGAGCGTCTATTGGCAGGAAGCCAATGTAGATTGTGTTTTAATATATGTTGCTGCTGTTATTGGTTGTTGTCTATGTATTGATATCATAGATTATGTTTACAGTATGCTATTTTGGGATAACTGTTGTATCACATTTATATGTAGTCTTGTATGAGAACATGTAATGTTGATGCATAGAGGGACTTAGCCTATGATCATGGTTGTATTGTATATTCTTGTGGTTCAATTATGCAATGACATTGATCATAATTATTTAGTAATACGTAAGTTCCATTTGATGTATTTTGTAAGCATTTGTATGCTTGGGAACATTGATGAAATGTAATCATGGATTATATGTTGATATGATGAAAGGGCTCTTAAGCCTATTTTGGATGTGGTGAGGCCTATTGTATATGTATATTATGCATAACCTTATTGCTAGGGTATGTGAAACATGCAAGAAATGAAGGTGTAATGCATGCTAAGATAAGAAGTAAATAACTTGGTAACCAAACAACATGAATAGGTTAACTTGTGAAGCAATAAAGGGGCATAATTGAATGTATAATATGGATATTAGAGCTACCATGTTTGTTGGGCACTGGTTAGCCATTCCAATTCGATTAGGTACCTTAACCTATGGAGGTTTCTTGGGAAAGAAGCATCCTATATAAGCAAAACCATTTTTGTTGTTGTCCTGGGGTGTTAAAACGCTGGAATAGGGGAAGAGAGGGGTTGGCCATTGGTGGTTGGCTTTAAAACGTTGAAGTCGAGCCTTTTAATGTGCTACTGTTGTTAAAATGCTGAGATAGGGCATTTTAATATGGCCATCTGCGAAAAGCTATTGGGCTGCCCCTTGGCGTTAAAACATTGAGAACGGATGTTTTAACGCTAGGCTTTTCATACATTGAGGTTTGTATAATGAAATGAGCTTAACTTGAGCTACGGTACTCCAATTTGGGTGAGATTTGGACCTATATGTAGCTAACACATAGGGATATAAGTCTATAAAACATTAAGCCATTGGCTTAGTGGATTAATAACAGTTTCATTTTGAATTTGTTGCTCATTTTTCAAAAGTATAGTTTGAGGTCGTTGGCTTACGACAGATGTATCTTGAGCTATATAGATCCAACTGAGACTTAAATAAATATTCAGAATCTTTTTCATCTTCAAAATTAAAAGATAAAAGGATGTTTGATTAGTTATCTCACTGATAGATGTTGATAGTGATAGCAATGATGATATTAGTCTTGATGATGGATGAATAGGATAATAATTGTTTTGCACTTTAGTTACTTATGTATTTTGCTGATTGAATCTATTTTGGAATTTGGATTTAGATAATATTAATTATATTATATATTTTAAATTATTTTTTTTGTATCTTACGATTCGATATGATTCACAATACACGATGCAAAAAACTAACCAAACGATACACGATACATATTGCGATTCAACATTCTTGATAGAGTTTATATCTATCCTTAAGTGGCATACTATACTTTATTGATTTTAACTATTTAATGTAAAAATTACCCACTGATGGACTTCCAACTTGCTATGTTTTAATAATCAAATTGAGCATCAAATTGATCTAAATATAATCAAAAAGATATAAGAATTGTGATTAAAGTGTTATTGTATCCTCAGTAGTATTTTCATAAGAAATTCTTGTGTTTTATATGGATTTTAACCCATTGAAAGAAGATCAAGTTGGAGAGCTCAAGAGGTAGAGAGAAAGAGCAATTAATGGAACCAGATGAGCTGGCTCTAAAAGATGAATTCTCTGTTTCTTCGCACTTTAAGCACCAACTAGGTGCTAGAAGCACTAGCCCCACTATTGGTTTCTCTGTCCTTCTCGCTGGTAGCACCAACACCACGATTTCTTTGCTTCTCTGCGCTACAAGTGCAGGCTTAGCGTCCCAACTAGATGAAAGCTACTGTTTCATGGCGCTAGAAGCACCAGGTTGGCACTACTAGCGCCAGGAAGACATCCAGGTTGAAATCTGAAATTTAAATTATGCTGACGAGGATGTCATTGAGGATTCCTTGGGATTTTAAAAGATATTGTCTCCTCAATACAAAAGGGGAGTTTTGAGAAACAAAAAAAAAATTATTCGACCAGAGGGAAAGAAAGCACGAAGAATTCTAGAGCTTGGAGATCAAGAAAGAAGATGGAAGGAAGACCAAAGCGTCATCGTGGAGATCAACCGACAACTATCTATTAGTGATTTCTTCTAGTTTCTTCCTTTCTATCTTATTTTTGGTTAAGCCAGCTATGTCTGGCTAATTTCTTTTGTAGTTAGGGTTACGAATTCAACGTGAACCTTTATGTGATTGAATTTTTTTTAATAAAATATGTCCCCAAATGTTGTGTGTTTATTTTGAATTACTTGATCAATTCTTGTATGACTTGATCAAAAGGGATAAAGAGGGTTAAGTTCTAATTAGAAATAATTTGGATCTTAATTTGGACTAAGATAAACACCAATTTTTGCATGTTCTAGACATAGGCTTGTAGGAATTGCAAATGTGTGAGATTCATCTTACGTAAAGCTTAATCTAAAAAGGGTTTATAAGCAATTAGGATTCTAATTAAGTTAAAAGGTTAAATAACTAAGATATTAAGATTTAACAAATTATCACTTAGATGATGAATCATTTGGTAACAATGGGGTTTGAAATTTATTGAATTAAGTTAAACCATTTAAGAGGTATCAGAGATGAAGTAAACCCTAATTGTGCGTCCATTCTTGATTTCCAAATTGTCTTTTAATTATTTTCTTCAATTGCTATCTTTAATCAATTTTTGATCAATTATTAATTGTGTGCGCAAACAACTTTTGAATTGTTTAACTTAGAAAAAAATAGTGAATTATTGCTTGTAATTAGTCCTCGTCAGAATGATACTCACTCTTCACTTTATTACTTAGAAATGAGCGGTACACTTGCCATGTTCGCAACACCGACTAATAAATATTTAATAACTTACATAAGTTATAAGAGATATAAGTATTATTATGTAGAAGGGAACTACAATAACTTTTTGCAAATAAGATTTTATGAATTTAAAATATTTATTATGGAATCAACAAGCAAGAGTAATGTCCATACCTTTAAAGTACTTCAATTAATAAAGATACTAGATACAAAATGAAAGAGAACATAACATTAAATCTTGTCATATGATCACAAAGATTTAGGCCTAATCACATATGGTTGAGTCTAGTCTAAAAAAGTGCTTTGGCAGGATCTCCTACTTTATCATGTGGGATTGTATCTCTAATGTTGTTGTAGTATGATTTGATCTAGAACAAGAGAGGTGAATACTTGCATGGCACTCTGACACTCAAATAAGTATTTAAGTATATGGGAAGAAAATAACCATATGTAAGCTTTAGGTTTCTCCTTTTATAGTAGCAACAACTGCCTCAATATGGTAGTATGATTAGCATATCTCTGATTGGTTGATTCAAGTGGCTTTGGTAGGGTATGACACCTAGACTTGACTAGAATCTTGTGTATATCCTTGAACCACTGGTTATTATGGAGGCTTATGAGTTTTGTGTTGCTGGGAACTTAGTGATTTCCTTGTGAGATTGCGTGTAATGTTACTAATGTGTTTCCTTATGGATTAAGTGTGGGATTGCGTGTATACGTTACTAATGTGTTTCCTTATGGATTAAGTTTTTACTTTGGGTTTTATCTTGGGTTGTTATTAGACTTGACCTTCTATGTAGTTTAATATAGTTCTGGATCAGTTCCCTAAGCCTGTTGCTCATTTCTCTTAATGAGGAGCGAAATATATTATTGTCATGAGATCTTATTTTGCTAGATCCATCCACGTGTAATGTTGTGGTAAAAAGTAAAAAGTTTAGATTACTATATACTTTAAGGATTGAATATCTTTCATATTGCATGAGATAAGATTATTTCCTGTATACATATAAAAATTATATGGCTCATATTTATCTTTTCTCGTTATTCTCTTTATATGACTCTATATGAGCCTCACAAATTTTTATATTTGTAGGCTATGAAGCACCGACACTTCAAAGACCTTGACGTGTAGTGTTTGACACTCTCCGACATTTCGACACTCTCTGATACTCCAACACGCATTGTAGAAACTCAAAAAATGGTTCAAAGGTTGCATTGCGTTGCGTTTTTAGTTTCAACTAATAGATTCGTTGGATTACGATTATAATTTTATTGAGTTTAATATAAATATTTGGGATATCTTACGTTTCTTTGCAAAATTAATAGGTATTATAAGTTTAACTTTATTTTTTTGTTAAATTATTGAATATTAATATAATATATACTACATAAATAAAAAATATTATTTAATATCACAACGTGTTCTAACGTGTTAAAATCTAACAATTTTTAGAATTAACGTGTCGAAGTGTCGTATCGTGTCGTGTCACGTGTCCTGTGTCGATATAGATGTACATAGTTTGTAAGAGATAATTTTATCTGCTATAACATAACACACGTCAAATTCATACATTAATTAGTAACTGTCACCTCGTGAAGGAATTAATTAGACTTTGAATTGTCAATTTTAATAATATTGGTTCTTACCGTGTCTTAATCATGCATGCTTAGCATTCGACGGCCGTACATCTTACATTACTTTTTTTTCTTGCGAAATCTTCTATTAAGACTCACGTCAAGCCAAAAAAAAAGGATTTTTTTTTTATAATTTAACATATTACGAGTTGCTTGTTCGAAATAAAATAAATATTAAGTTCTACTCACCAAAACATGATAACTCATTAATCATTAAGTGTACAAAATTCAGACAAAAAATAAATATTTTTTTTTAAAGTATAAAGTGATCCCCAATTTATTTATTTATTGCATAAAAATTGTGCAATTGCCATTTGGTTGGGCTTTTCGCTCTTTCTCGTACCTCTGTATTTCTTTATTTGTCTCTCTCTCTCTCTCTCTCTCTCTCGCTAACTCACCTTGGATTTTCTTTCTGCGACCAAGCACTATACATTTGTACACACCAACAAACAAACTTGTTTTATGAATCTTTGTCAAACGCTTCTGTTGATTCTCTGTCAAAAACTCATTGCTTCAATCACTCACTCAACACTTTCAGATCGGTGTCTCTCTTGGACAAATTGACAAAGGTTTTTATTTTTTTATGCAATTTTATTCCTTACAGCACACTCTTTCGTTTTCATGTGTTCTTTCTCTTTAAATTTGGAGTTTTTATCACTGCATGTGGAAAACAAATACTGGGTTGTGTTGGGTTTGATCTCATCCTTTGCTTTTTGAGATATTTTTAGGATATTTCTTTGGTTTTTCAACTGTGACACTGAATTGCTTGCATGCAAATGGGTCTTCGCGCAAGTTGTTTATTAAAATTATTTGTTCTGAATTCTGGTTTTTTTTTTTTTCCTTCTTTATTATCGTCTGTTTCTGAATTGATCTTCTTGTGATGAATTTGTCTCCCTTATGTGCTTTTCATTTTGTTGTTCATGGGAAAATGGGTCCTGATATTTTGATCAATTTTATTTTTTTCGATGAACTTTCAAAGGGAATTTGTGTGTTTTGAATGTTCGGTTTTGGGTTTCGATGGAAATTTAATTAATGTGGCTGTGTCTTTTAAGCTTGCATGCAAGGGATCAGAGTTCTAATAACCCTTTTTGAAGTAATCTGGTGAGAAATGGAAAAATTTTCTTTTTTATTTAGTCTCTACGAATTGTACCTGTAAGGTTTCTAGAAATTCAGTGAATTGTGAGTCTGACATTTTCACTAGGTTTTATTTGCTTTTCTCCCTAGAATTTGTCCTCTGTTTCAAGATCATTTATGAACTTAATTTTATTACTTTCTTTAGGTCTTCATTTTTTTGTTAGGTTTTCATTTTTTTTTTTAAATTCATTTTGTAAGTGGGCAAAGCAGGCTAACAATACTGTCTCTGTCTTTTTGGTTCAACTTTTTGAAGGAAATGAAATGTATCCTGCCTCTAAATTACATCTCTTATTTATTTTTCTTGGACTGGTTTGAATTTTGAATTATAGATTTAAAATTATTATTCTCAAAGGAAATTGCAACTCTGAACCTACATGCCTACATGATATAATGTTTTACCAAAGAAGTGAAAAAAAATTCTGGCTTCCCTTCAATTGACAGTTTCCTTTTGTGCTGGGATGCATGCAGGGCTTGTAGGTTATTGTATTCAGATGATCTCCACAAAATTAGTGATTATGAATTCTTCATTTGTCAGCTTCTAATTTTCTGGGGAAGGGTTGGAGTTTTGGATCAGGTGCTTTCAGTCTTGTAAAGTTGAGTGGGAGATATGGAGTGAATTGTTAACAGTAATAATTGGTAAATGGGGATCCAAACTATGGGGTCTCAAGGTGGTGGAGATAGTAATGGAAAACGGTCACAACTCCAACCTCTAGTGCGGCAAAACTCAATGTACAGTCTCACACTTGATGAGGTTCAGAATCAATTAGGTGATTTAGGGAAGCCGCTAAGTAGTATGAACCTTGATGAGCTTCTAAAAAATGTATGGACTGTCGAGGCAAGCCAGTCCATGGGTATTGACATTGAGGACAGGGCACAAGCTAGTCAAGCTGCTTTGCAGCGTCAGGCTAGTCTGTCATTGACTGGTGCACTAAGCAAGAAGACTGTCGATGAGGTTTGGAGAGATATCCAACAAAAGAAAAATAGTGACGAGAAGAAGTCTCGAGAGAGACAGCCTACTTTGGGAGAGATGACATTGGAGGATTTCTTGGTGAAAGCAGGTGTTGTTGCAGAAGCATCTTCTAATAGAAAGAATACTGGTATTATAGCTGGGGTTGATTCAAATGTAGCAGTACCACAGTTTCCTCCGCAAGGCCAGTGGATACAGTATCAACAACCATATCAGCATCCACAACAAAGTTTAATGGGGATTTATATGCCTAGCCAGGGTATAGCACAGCCATTGCACATGGGACCTGGTGCTTCATTGGATGTTCCCTTTGCAGATAGTCAGGTGGCATTGCCTTCACCTCTGATGGGAACAGTGTCAGATACACAGACACCTGGAAGAAAAAGGAGCACCCCAGAGGACATGATGGAGAAGACTGTTGAGAGGAGGCAGAAGAGGATGATCAAGAATCGGGAATCTGCTGCCCGTTCAAGAGCAAGGAAACAGGTTATCTTTCTCTTTCTTTATTTTGAGTGTCATGGTATCTGAGTCCTTATTCTTTAATTAGTTTTTCCCCATAACTCGAATGATAAATATTATAAACAGGCATACACAAATGAATTGGAGAATAAAGTCTCGCGCCTGGAAGAGGAAAATGAAATGCTGAGGAAACGAAAGGTTAGATTCTGATTTTAAGTTCTAGTTTAATTTCTTCAAGTATGTTTTACTGTTAATTCAAATTCCTGAATGTACCTTCAGTTTTCAGATTGAGTAGTTTCTTCTTTTGTGGAGTATATTTTCAGAATAAGATAGGAGGCAATCTTAGTTTCAATTATTATATAGGAAACTCTGCACATTATATTTTTTAGTCAATACCTGAATTAACATTAAGTACATGGAAATTTTAGCTAACCTTGAGATATATGTTCCCCAACTTCCTTGTGCATACTTATGCTCACAATTCAAAGTGTGGTGCAATAGTTGTATTTGTTTCTTACATGGCTTGGGAATTCAATCTGATGTTTGGACGCTATTATCAGTTTTTTTAACTGCATGAGTTTGTAATCCATTGTTGTGTATGGTTATGGTAGCAGACAACTCCTAATTTACCCTTTGGAGAAACCTCATTGAAGTTAATGGAAAAGGAAATTCGATACACAGAAAACTTGCTCATTCTTTGATTTTGCTGGGAGGAAATAAGGGGTATGGGGAAAGAAAGGTTTCTCCTTTGTTTTAATACAAGTCCTTTATCTTTTGAGGTTATAATGGGGGAAATATACTTTTCCTTTCATCAATTTTTCTTTTATTTTTTAGTTTTCATTCTTATTGTTAAATGTGTAGATGCATCTCAATTCATTTTAAACATGTTTTATTGATCTCAACCCCTTCCAAAAGATTAAACAAAGAAGATCGGTGTGGATACCTCGATATAATTCTTGGCAGAAGCTGGATGTGATCTACGTCTTAAAGATCGTTAACATTGATATTTTGACTGGCAGGATGGTATAATCACATGATTGTTAGATTTTTTTCCCATTTTCATTCAAGACAAAAGGCGTTTCTTTCACCCCCAGTTTTGCATTATCCTTCTTTTTTAGTATTTTTGTTGAAACAACTTATTTCTGTAGACTGTGATGCACAATGTTATTACGGATATCATTTATGCATACTCTCTAGGTTGACTCTCAGCAGGCTATCATTATAATATTCAATTATGATATTTCTTGATTTAGAGTCTGATCAATTTTCATTTGTAATTGGTAAATCAAGTATTGGTATGAATTTTCTCTACTTATGTTGTTGAAGTCTGGCATAATTTGTCATATGAGCATACCACAATTAGCAAGCATGCTTATCTTTGTGAACTAAATAATTTTGTAATGTATAGTGGCTTTCGTTAATTGCATTTCTGTTACACACAATATAAATTTAAGTTATTATGGCAAATCATTTATCCAGCCTTTTGAGTTTGTGTTACTTGGGTTGTTGAAGTTGGGAGCTCCTTTTGACTCATAATTGATTCCGGTAGATTGGAATGAAATAGGAATGATGCGCATTGATCAACTTGATATCCTTGATACACTTAGTAAAGATTAGTTAATGCATTTGAAAACTTACTTCTAAAATTACATTTTTTTCCTCATCTTTTTTGTTTTATGGGTAAAATCCTTTATGGATGATACCTGAGCTGTGCGATGTTATATATCGTGATATTGTTATTGAGTTTGAGGAGATTTTAATTTCTGTCTTTTTACTCATTAAGATTAACTGTTTTTATGTAGTTAGACATTTCAACTCTTTAGTGGCTATAAACATTAATTCATGGAACAATAAAAATTAACCTCCTTTAGAAGAGAAAATGAAGGATGAAGGTTGGAAAGGGCTTCTTTTAATTGAGCTTCGTATGGAGGTATCACAAGCAAATCTTATGACATGAATGAACTTCGTTGAATCATTACAAAATCAGCATTGCTGTCTTGATGTCATTTATTAGGGATACATCTCTCTTATTGTCACTGCTCTGGTTTGTACAGATATATTAATATTTGTTCAGGTAAATGATTGAGTCAGGTTTAATTTTGTAATAAATAAAGAAAAATGAACATGTAAAGTCTGAATGACACAACTCTTGGATTATTCCCCAACGAAAATATTACAATAAATCTCACTAAGGGGTTTATAAAAAAGAAAGGGCAGCCTATAAAGGGTCAGACACATTGTTTCACTAAGGGGTTTATGAATTTACAAAATTTGCCTCTCATGTAAATACCTTATCTCATGACATTATAGCTACATAGGAGCACCATGAATTGTTACCCAACACAGTTATTGCTTTAATGCAGTGGTGTTTCATATCTTGAACTAACACTCCTCGGAATTTCTGCTGCTTCATGTAGTTTCATTTATTGGGTATTGAGTGATGTGGACTTTGATTTACTGGCTTAACATTTCTTGCTCCTAATAAGTGCTTCTTCCAGCTGCACTATGCAAAATCTGGTTGCATGTATTGAGATTTGTGTCCATGATCCTTTTTACATGTTAAGAACATGGGAACAAAGATATCTTTACTTCTCTTTCAAACATTCTTACTTTGTTGTTTCATATATATTATTATTGGGAAAGTTCTGTTTACAAATTTTTTTTTTACAAACTTACAAATTACACTATGTCTGACCGATAATACTCTACTCAAGAGTGTATTACCGGTCAGACATAGTGTAGTTTGTAAACAAAAAGTTTGTAAATATAACCTTCCCCATTATTATTAGACTAGTTCTAGTTATTAATGTTTCTCCTCAACTTGCAGGAGCTAGATAAGATGTTGCAATGTGCACCACCTCCAGAACCTAAATATCAACTTCGCCGAATAGCATCAGCTCCATTCTGAGATCTGTACCTATAAGTAGAGGTTTGTAGATATGAGCATCAAGGAATGCTCCTTCTAGTTTACTATGAGGTTAACACCTGCCTTCTAGTATCTCAGGAATAGCTATGTGATGCATTTAAATCCAATGGCTTTGTTTTACTAGTCATTAGGTTCTTTGTAACTAACTCCTCTGAAATCCTTCCGTAAAAGTTTATGGACAATTCTGTAGTTTTACATTATATAGCCTTTTTAATCATGAGTTGAGTTTACTTCGGCCTCTTGGGCTTAACCATTTTTGAAATCATGGCAAAATAAGGCCACTCTTAAGATGCATTGCTGATATGAACATGTATTATCAAACCCTAATTTCTATAAATTATTGGTCTAGTATAAACAAATTCTTAATTGTATATATTTAATAATTAATTAAAATAATATGAAATGACCCCAATACCAAAATGGTAAAGGAACATGATGTAAGAGCAAGCTGAGAGATTACAGTCACAAATACCAAAAAAGTATAACAAGCAAAGAATGGATCCACGGTACTAACCAGAATTTGATTTGTGACAAAAGCTTACGAGGAATGTTAAATTTATAATATTTTTTGTTTACAATTTCTTATAATTAAATTTTAAATATTGATTTTTGTCAATTTGACAGTTATAATTTATTGGGAATTAACAATTAATTAATAAATGTGATCTAATAAATTATAACCATCACATTAACGAAAATTAACGATTAAGATTTGATTTTAAAAAATTGTAAATATAACCTTCCTCAAAGTTTATTATCTAAATTTTGATAAAAACCTTTTACGCTGAAAATGTTGTAGTGTATTTTTTATGGGATAGGATATCATTTTTATTTTTATTTTATGTTTACTCTACATACTTCATTCCAATATCATTATATCACAATCTCATCTTTTCTCTTTCTAGTTAAGATTGTGATTTATCGGTACTTAAGAAGAATAGTTGGTAATTTGGCGCTGAGTTAGTGGGGTTGGACATGTGTTCGATTCCTGCTGAATGCATTCTTGGGGAGGGGGCTGAACCTTTAGCCATCACTGCTCCCCCGCACTCCGGATTAGTCCCATAGCCGGCTCAAAGAGTCGAAGCTCGTGGGGATACCGGAGGGAGCCAACTCGCCTCAAAGAGGTAATTAGGGTTGGGTAACTCCAAAAAGAAAAGAAAAAAGAAGAATAAGTAAAGTAAGAATGAAAAAAAGGTAGACATAATATTCTATTTATTTTTTTTAAACTTCTGATTGAATGAAAAATAATAATAATAATTTTAGTTATTGTTAAGACATAAGTTCAAGGGGTAAGAGACATGATTCAGACCAATGTTGTTAAAATCGATATCTTAAGTAAAATTGGAAGATGATTAAAAAAGCGCAAAACGTAAAATCGTAATGTAAAAAAATCGTAAAAAATCGTAAAAACATAAAAACGTTTGGAATATTAGTAAAATCATTTTGATGAAAAAATCATGAAAACATAAAATCGTAGTGATAAATCGAGATTTTAACAACAATGATTCGAACCCATCTCTATTTTGTGAACTGATTGTTTTTCTTTCTTAGGTGGACATCCTCTATAATGACTCTAATTGGTAAATCTTAATTCGAGGTTTAATTTGAGGATTTAAATGTCATAATTAGATTCAGAGTCTGATTTCGAGTATTTTGACTGTAATCATGACTAGGTCATGAACAGTGCGTTTTGGCGGATAATCTACAGTCTTGTGAATTAACCGGTAGAGCTTAAATGAGCAAAATGATTTAGAGACATAATTTGATAATTCTGACGCCAAATATGAGTTCAGAACGAAAAATTGTACAGGCTGGCACTATTCGTGAAAATCTCGTGAATAGTATTTTCTACCAGGTATTTTGTACTGCTGTTTAAGCAACCGGTAGAGTCCAAAAATAAATAATTGATGAAATAAGAATAAGAAAGTCCAATATATGCCAAGCAAGTCAAAATAAGCCCAAGAATGATAAGTTCATAAGTTTTAAGTTTCGTAAGCAAACGACTTATATTTAATGATTCACAGTGCATTTCGTCAAAAACGGTGTAGAAACCATACTGTGAATTATGAGTATTGTTCCTTAGGAAATAAAAATTAATGTAAATGAGTTCAGAAAAATAAAAATATGTCCGTAGCTTTGAGTTAGTTCCGGGTCAGTTTAGGTGAAAATAAGCGAAACAAAAATGACCGGTTGAAAAAGCCACATGTGCTTATAACTTAAGTTCCTTCCAAAAGGTCACTATTCACATCAGATTTCTTCTTTCTCTCTCTCCTTGGCCGAGTTCCACCATTGGAGAAGCCTAGGTTTGCATTTTTGTTTTCCTTTGATTCCTACTTCAACCTTCCACCAAATCAATAAGTCCATTACACAAAATTCATAAGAAATCACTCAAGGAATCCATTCCACCACTCTATTTGGGCTGATTTTGCTTGTGGAGGAAGTTCTTCCTCACCTCCTTTTTGTTTCACTATTCATCAAGGAAGGAAAATGGGAATGTTGATGGAGCCTTGCTTGGAGGTTGCTCTCTAGGCCTTGTACAAGGGATTAGAGGTAATAAACCTCTATATCTATGGTTTATTTTCATGATTTAAGTTTGGAAAAATTAGAATATGTTTGGTGGGGAAAACCTTGAGTTTAAAAATTAAATTGATGTTGGATTATTGATTTGTTTGGACATAGGAATGTAAAATAAACATTTGTATATGTGTAGAATTGGAAAAATCCCTTGGTATTGTGTCCCTCATGGTTCGACCATGATGGTTAAATAGGGTTCATGGTGCAAAAAAAATTAAGTTCATGGATTGTTAAAGTGGTATGTAGGTGTAAGTGAAGATTTATGTGTAAAGAAAAGGAAAATACCAAAGTGACAAAACTACTATGGTGTGCTACACCTATTTTCGGCCATAATGGACTTTGGAGGAGTCTAATGTTTAAAATTTAATTAGACATTATGGTCATGTATATATGTACATATATATATATACTTGTATGTGTAAGTTGCAAAAATAAAGTGAAGGAAATAAATTGAAAACGAAAAGAACCCTTTGAGATTCCCTTATAGATTTCGACCTATAGGGTGATTTAGGGATAGATTTAGTTACATTTTATTTTAATAAAATTTTTACATTCCAAGGTATGTAATGAATGAGTTAAAGAAGAGAAATGGCTTAAAAATTGTTGAAAGAAATCTCGGTTTCCTTGATGTGTATCCACGGCCTTACGAAGAAAAATGGCATGAATTATGTTGAAATTTCTCAAGTGGATACTTAGTTAATTTAGGGAACGCTAATGATTATAAAATGGTAAATGAAAAGGAAAAATTATAAAGGTGTGGTCTTGACTTGTGAATTGGCATAAGATTGGCATAATGTAAGGAAACGAAAGTGAACAGTAAGATGTATGCCTTGTGTAAATTTCATGGCAATTGTAACATTTTATTGATTTTGTTTTGAATCCTTCTCTAGGTGTGCCTAGGAATTGAGAGGGTTTGAACTTCCGTTGGAGCTATATAAGTAACTTGCGCGACAAGTAAGTGAACTAGAAAAGCTTCAAGAGGTAAGCTCTATGTTTAAGGAGTCTTTTTCTACTCGAGTGCTCCACCATAGTTAGTGAACTGTGGTTGGATTGTATGATTGTTTTTGATGCTTTGTATAGATGCATTCATATAGAGCTATTTGATAACATGATATGATTTGTTCTGATATGATTTCTGTATTGATTGTATGGTACACTGATGTCTTCTTGGGGTTTCCCTGAGATTGACGATGTACGCCTCTGACATGTTCTGGTTCCACTTGGGGTCCTCCCTTAGGAACACGTGCATTAAATTTCGCTTGGGGTCCTCCCTCGGGAATGACGACGCACGCCTCTGATGAGATATGTATATTTGTTTTGTTCTGTTATGATATCTATTATATGTTGCATTGGTATACTCTGTATCTGACTTTCATGCAAGAGTGAGCCATGGGTATGGAGAATTCTCTATAAACCTGGAGCTTATTGAGATTGTTATCTCACCCCTTCTTGGGGACATCATTTTAGGTTCTCAGATTCCCGGTGAGCCCTCACTAGGCAGGGACGCGACCGGTGGCTGAGGCGTTTGGGCGGACCAGATTTTGAGTAGTTGTAGGCTACTACTATTTTAAAGTGTATTTATGTTATTCAATATTTTAGCATTTTTTGGATCATGATGTTTGATCCTTTATTTTGTATATGGCCTGTATATGTTTTGTACATGTCTTTCAGTATGATGCATGTACATTTGTGTATTCAGGCATGTTGATATGACGATGTAGTATTCAGTTTTGTTTACATGTTGAATTGCATGCTGTTAGATATAGTGGCACGGAGCCAAGTTATGCATGCGCCCATAGATGGGTATATGATTATATTTGGATGTCTGGTACTTCTGAATTCATATGCTGTATAAACTGTCTATCAGGAACTCTTGAGAGTGTGATTGAAAAATCTTCATTTGTCCGATTTACAGAGGTTACTCTGCCCGATTTTCGTCTCCGCTGAATAAGAATTAAACTAGAAAAAGTTAGCTCGTATTTTCGTAAGTTAAGTCTTCTGTTGTTTCTGTTTGTATCATATACATGTTAATTGAACCGGCTTGAAACGGGAATGTTATATCCTCACTGACGCAACAAGATATTTAAGTAAAGTCCCAACTCTTTGAGATGAATCTATCTACCATATTTTCTTGACAACTGCCCAAATCAGTAAAAGTAGTAAAGGGTAAAGTAGATTGTCACTATAACAAGGATTGGGTCATCAAATACCACTTCACTAATATAAGTGAATCCATTCTGGAAGAATTCAGAGGAAAACAAGTAAGAAAAATAAAATATAAACAAGAAAGTAATATAATAGTCAATATCATGATAACAATTTAAGAAGTATGCACAAGATAAGATCTTACGAATAAATTGATGGGGAGATTGCTTGAACTAACTAATTCCCAATTTCATGGTTTAGCAATCCTCTTCAGCTACTAAAATTCAATTGTTCTGAATTAATGTTTTGGGCCCATATGATACGATTTAATTGCCAACAACCAAAGACATTTTAGACACTTGTTTTGCATAATTGATTGCAAGACGCATCGCCACAATGTCACCTCGGCCACTTGCTTTAACTGTGTATTGTTATGTTCTATGTCAGCTCACGTGGTGGGTTACATCACACATGCGGCAAA